GCAGTTTTGATCAATAAGGGAATTTATCTCGCGCGAAATAACAACTGTGTTTCTTATTATCTTTGCACAATTCCGGAATATATATGGGGTTATTATATCACGCCCTACAACATTTCAGTTTCCGCTACATTGCGATGAATTGGCGAGAATATATACTGAGAGATTGTCTTAAAACTATAACTTATAGCCCGGCTATAAATTTTGTAATAAATTTCGGGTAGATTATTTCTGACAAAAGTTTGTAATTTAATTTATTATAATTTATACTTTTGACTGTTGAAACAGTGATATTAAGTACGCAAAAATGATAAATGATCGTTAATAATAATTGCAATATTTCTCTTTTACCTTAACAATAAGTACCTATCTATATTAATTCAATTAACGTAATACGTAAAGAAAAGATGTTAAATATCAAGTACACAAACAGCTTCTCATAGAAAAGTTAATAACGCGATTAGATTAAGAGATTACTAAATACAAAACATATAATTGGAAGTTTATAAAAAACCGGGCGACTATTTATTTTATTTTTTGTGTATTTGTACGCAATCTGTGACAAAAGAATGAAACAGTTTGACGTTCTTGTTAACTCCATTTTTCGTACGTCGTCGTACATCGTGACCCTTTTAAAAGAACTCGGTCGTAAAAGACTTCTTTCAAGGCTTCTCTTCGTATCCCGAAATCAGCTGGTGGCGAGAAGAATCCTATTTCTTCTACCATACAGTACCTAGCGAAGATTTACGACTCGTAAAACAATAGTTCCGAAGGTGTCCTATTGTAGTCCAACACATTATGAGAAGTAACGAGAAACGTTAGCCTGACCTACTGACCAACTTTTGCTATATTTTTTTTTGTGAACCTAGGTCAGGAGGACTAAAACCTTTTAAAACTTTTGAAAGGATATTCAAAGGGATCTCCTAGCGAGACGATTATTAAAAGACTCAGAAACTTTACGTAACTGCAGTCTTTTCAATTTTTACCTCCCGCAGATTTTGGGTTAAGATATATGTTATTTTCGCAATAATTTGGGTTTATTCTTACAGAAACAGAACACCCAAGAACTTAAATGTCGTAAATTCTCGAGATCCTGTATTTCATACGTGTTAACTTTTGAACCGCCAAAAGAGAGAGAAATAATCTTTCTTCTGTCTTTCCAACTTTTTCTTTTTCTCACGTACAAAGGACTAGTGATAATGCATTTTAGAAAACTTAATCTTGTTTCCTACCACGAATTTGCATGCATTATAGAAATGCTTTCAACACATCCATGAATTATAATCGCGGCATAAAAAATTGGTTTTCTCTAATAAGAAAAAAAAAGAAATGAATTTCACAAATAACAAGCGAAGAAAGCACAATCGAAAAACATCGCGCGTGTGATAACGACACGGTGGGAAGTTTCGGCGATAGATCTTTTTTGCGCGCGTATATCTAAAGAAAGTTCACACACGTGACCCCCCGATGTCCGGCGCGATTATTCAGCGCGGATCGCGAGGAAGTACGTTTCCTCGACACAGTGACCTCGTCAATTTTCGGTAGAGATAGTCCGGTATCCTCGGAAGGATTCGGGCCTCTTCCTGCGGCAGCCAAGATTTACGGATGTCATAAAGCACTAAAAACGGTTACGGTAACTTCGCCCAACGTGGCAGTTTTATTTGCGCCATACATTCGGCGGCGACGGCGGCTGAGCGTCTACCATATCGTCGCTCAAAAACGTACAAAAGTAACAATGAAACGTGCGATTTCGCTCGGGCGGGCGCGTCGAAAGTTTTCCGCGGCGCTAGGAACCCACACGGCGCGCAACTTTTCGCGAACACCTCGGTGGCCCCCGTTCCCCCTTTGCGCTTACGCGCTCTACGCGCGGCGAGGGATGTATATTTCCACGCCAGGCAGACAAACCGTGCGCCACTTCCTCTCTCATAAATAAATATGAGCTTAGTCTCGTCCGTCTCACTTCCTCTCAGGCTGTCGTATTTGTCGACGTACGAAAAAGAAAGGCGACCGAATGGCGGGCAAACAGCAACCCACGAGAGGAAATATCTCGACATTCCTCCGTACGTAGCGGTACGTACGTCAGCCGTCGCTGTCTTCGTCTCGAGAAAGCTTATAGCATCGCGCGTGCCTTCGATCTTCGATAATATATTAGCTTCCACAAGTGTGTTCGAACTTGAACGCAGATGAACCAATAAAGGCTTCGGATGCTGACCAGGGTTCATCGCGCGGAGCGAACAAAAAGCGAGGCACGAAGAGGCGAGGAAGAAAGGCGATTTTTTGCTGTTAATGAAGCTGTCCCTCTCTTGAAACGGTCGAGTATTAGCAAATACTCAGTTGGCCGTGGAAAGCGGCGTTTTGCTCGCGCGCGACAGCGCAATTACAATAAACGGCGCGTCTCTCGCTACCGGCACACATACCCCTCTATCTTTTATCCGTCTCTCTTTTACCTTCCGCAAGCTTATGCTCGTCTCGAAGGGCTTCCTTCTCCTCGGGCTAACGTTTGTTCTCACTCGCGGTAGGCAGAGAGCATAAGCGGCACGCTTACGTAGTGGGGTCGGAGCTTAAATTAAATCCGGCTAATGTAACCGACGGGTATATTAGATCTCTTGTCTGCGGGCGTATGTCCTCCCCCTTTTGCGTACATGGACTCGGGGATTGGTCCGTGGAAGGGCGAGTAGGCAGACGATGAGATTCGAGATGCGGCGATGTTAAGGGGGAGACCTGGTGGTAAAGACGAAACGCCAGTGATCAAGCCGCATAATCCTTTACTTTTTCATCCACCATCCCACGTATTTCGTATTTATTGACTTTCGCACCGCATTTCCTGATCCTGCGATATAATTACTTAACGGCAGTTCATTTGTTGGTTCAATCGTAATTTGGTTTTCCTGCGCTTTAATCTTACGAAATCAGGAAGCGCAATAATAATTCACGCTAAACATTAAAAACTAAGATGTAAATTATAAACACATATGATTTATTACTTATATTTTCACAAATAATATTTTTATGGTAAATAGAATATCAATTGCATACACACACCTTTTGAATACAATATTTTATTATGCACATTATTTCAAAGACCTCACAATCCTCAAAGTAAACAATATCGTCGGAAGAAGATTCTGCTTTGTGCATTGTTATACGATCATATTAGCTTTACGATATAAATCTTAAGGTTCCAAAGAATAAGAGAGCATGTTTTTGTTAAGTTGCTTTTTGGCACGCTACGAAAGTTTGCTGCATCGAGGGCATCTGTATGCTGTATATATGTGATATCCACAGACGTGACGGTGGCGAATGAGGGAGACGCGAATAAGAGAACGAAACGGAGATAGAAGAGGATCAAAGAGAATCCGGTGGAGGTGACGACGTTGTCTACCGGCGCCGGAAGCTCCGTGATCGAATCGCTAATTAGCACTCGCTCCCAGTCCGGAGGACTCTTTGAGAGTAGCAACTACTTCTCTCCTGTCGTTAATGCATTCGGATCGAGTAAATCCATTTTAAGCTCGCTACGCCGCGGCTGTGAACGCCGGGGACGCAAACTTGTCGAGAACAATTAATCGTGTTTATTTAAAGATTTACGGCGTGACCGATTTTCCGATTAGGACAGAAAATATCGGACAGTCATAACGCATGCTAATGCATTTAAATTTCATTCTCTGCAAGCGCAATTCAACAATTCATTAATCATTATATAATAACAAATATGTGAATACTTGTATATATTATATATTTTTATACATAACGGTAAAAATTCTTCGTCAAAATAAAGTTAAACAGATATTTTCAATTTTTATGAAAATAGTATTAGGAAAAACGATGACACCGGCATTTGCCGCTTGTAGGACTACTGCAATCGTTCCGCAAAAAGAGATTTCGTCGTACGCCCACGGGTGCCATAAACACTAATTCGAATCCTACCGGTTTGCCCTCGGGATCGAACGAGGCGGAACCAGAAAGTGATAAGACACAATATCTCACAATTTCGCGCCGGGTCTTGTGGGTTTTCACGTCCGTAGTGCTAATAAATTATTACGAATGATGACGTCCGAAAATTTACGATCGACCGATAATGTTCCGTCAGTCAAAAAACGGATGGCGATACATCTGTTTTCATTACGCTACCCATGCTACCAGTCATTTACGTCAATTTATATCGATTTAATATTACAGTGATTAATGTTTACGCTGGCCGTCAATATTTTCCGCGTTATCGTACAATAGGCGGACTAAATAAAATTAATCGCTCGCATTTGCTTGATTCGTGAAAAATTTATTGCGGCACCTGCAAACGGATGCGCACAAAACTGTGCGTGCATCGAATGCGTTTTCTATCAATTGTCCGAGCGAAACGTTATCCGGTGCCCTGCCCGATCGCTTGTGGTCAAGCTATATACGTATATCAATTATTCTCAAAATACACAACAAAAATTGTTCTAAAAAAGTTATCTCATTAACCGGCGCCCCCTGGTCGAAAGTCGAAATACCTCGCCGAAGGTGTACACGACCTTAGAGTCCGGACGCTTAATTAAGCGGGCCGCGCGTACACGCGCGTCTGAAGGGTGGAAAAAAGATCAATAAAATCGCTAGTCTACAGGCGACCGCATTCATCCGCCACCCCATTTCTACAACATATTTTGCAACCTCGCCCCCATATACGGGCCTCGGCGCTGACCCCCCCCACGCTCCGTTCGCCGCCCCTCGCTCTTTACCAGCCTCACGTGCTCGTTTCACTCCCTCCCTTCTGTCCACCACCGGGGGTGGCGAATCGGTGCGCTCGCGCGCGCGCGCGCTCGCGAGGGTACGCCGATCTACCACTAGATGGTGACGGGGGGCGAAAACCGTAAGTAAGACGGAGCGAGCGCGTACGATCGGACAAGGACGCACGACCGTGTGAGAGAGGGTCGAGAGCCGCGCGGGTTACCCTCCCCTCCCCTCGGCCAGCTCGCCGTCGACCAACTGGAGTTTCTCGTCAGCCTGTCAGTTAGTGCCGTGGCGCCGTGACGGTACGGTGTTGGTTGGTAACGTTGTTCCTTCGCGCGTCGCGTTTCCTCAATGGGCACCTCGTGGACCCAGTGCGAGAAGAGACGCGGCCGCCGATAACGCCAGTGATAACGCCGATATCGTCGCGATATCGAGGTGCCCACCCCGGTAATTTTGCATTTTTCTAAACGGATTAGCTCGATGTAGCGCGCATAGCGTATATAGGATTGTGTGAGCTTAGAGGCTTGTAAATAGCATGCCGAGAGGGAGAGGTGTACGTGTGAAAATTTTTTTAAAAAATATTTGTATCAAGTGAGGAACATATAGAGGAAGGTAGGATCTATATACAGAGACCACGGTTGTGATCGATGATTTCTTTGGTGCTCTTTGGTGTGTGCGCGCGTACGGTCGCTGATTAATAGAGCATCCCGAGCGGATATACATGATACATTAACGCACAAGGTGAGCATATCTCCTTTTCTCTCATAACGAACCCCTTTTAATTATACGCGCGCGCTCTCGTCAAGTGACGAATGGAACTGGAGAACGGACGCGAACGCAGCTGCAAAATTGTCAAAGGGTGCGGTGCGCGGGTGTTATCGATACCAGCGTGTAATTTCGCCGTGATATCTGTAATTACGTCGGGAAATTAGAATATAAATTGCCGACGGGAGAGCAGCAATTGTACTGTCCGGAATGTATATTAGCGCATATCCGTCAAACAATCTGCACTTTCGCAAATTTGCATACTTCAATAATTCTGATAAAAGCATACTTCATAAAAAATTATTTGCAAATAATAATGTTCAAATATTATTTTACATGGTGCTTAGTAATTTTTTGTAAAAGAAGGAATATCCCTTCCTCTACTTTTTGCCTTGTGGTGGAATTAGAAAAATATTCAGGCAAGTTTTTCTATACGCTTTAAGATGCTTTCGGGAATTGTAGAGAGAGGTCCATACAAGTCTATTCTTTTCTAATCCGGCTCCGAGAAACGTCGGACGGAATCTGATTTCCTTCTTCATTCGTTGTCATTCATTGTCGCCTCGTCCCTCACTCTGAAAATGATCGCGATGAAGCCGTGAAGGGATTCCATGCATTTCGAGTCGAGGAGTCAGGATAGCATCGATTAATTCTGTAAGCTCCATTTCCGACGAAAGGCGAACGCGAGGCAGAATCAAATGGAAGAAGATAAAGAGTGAATGAGGTGGATTAGCGAGAGAGAGGGCCCTCGAAGGGTTCGTCGACGACTGTTGGCACGCAGAAGGAAGGGGACAAATGAAATTTCGTCGCGGCAAATTGTCCGAAAGCGACGCCGCAGAAATCACCCCGACGATTAACAGGAGATCTCCTAAGACTTGCTAATTTCCTGCTCGGAGAGCGCGCCCGGGGATAGGGAGAGGCAATATCGAATCGGAACTCCCATCCATTAGCGCGGCGATCTATTTGTTGGAGACGCCTTAAATCCTCTGGATCGAGACGTGGACTGGTTCGCCAAGAACTCTTTAATCCTCGCGGCCCCTCAAAATACGGCTCACGTTCCGGATCCACGTAGTTTCGAGGTAGCAAAATAACGCAACAGGCAATGACGGATGAAAGAGAGCGAAGGAAGTCGGGCAGAATTGGAAATGGTCCAAGGAAGTCTCCGATCCTCCATTTCTATGCGATTTCGATTCCTACCGAACTGGTGCCAAGTTCGGAGTAAATTAGTTGTACGAGTGTTTACTACCAATTACACCTAGGCATCGTTAATGCATTTGGACGAGATCCGAGTAGGCCATTTTCTTCATGAAAATATATGTATATTCATTATGCCAAGATTTCATATTCAATTATGGAAAGCAAACAGAATGAGAGAGAGAGAGAGAGAGAGAGAGAGAGAGAGAGAGAGAGAGAGAGAGAGAGATCGTCATTACGGTTACGCCCATATATCTCGACGCTTTCAGGAATGGGAACAAGAATTGAGAAGGCATAAACTGTCGTTATGAGAAATCGAAGATCGTGCCTCATCCCGTCGAATGCCGAGCGTGTTCGATGTCGCGCGATTTTAGTGGATTTAAGCGCAGTCAGGAAAGTAGGTTCTGAATATTGATGAAGGGATATGAATATATTCATAGGGGCTAACAGTTTATTTCTGCAGCCAGGTCGAATCGGTTCGCATTGATCACTCTTCGATTCGTGCAGCAGCCTTTTCTACAGTAAATTTGAACGATTATTCGTAGATCCGTGTTCTCCGTTCCGTCGGGGAGAGAGGGGGAGGGAGGAGCTCACGAAGTTCTCCAGTTGCGAGGCCGAAAATCCTTCAATTTCCTTCTTTCCATTATGTCCGTGATTACTCGATGTAGATCCCCGACGGCGTGCTTGACAGTCTTCGCAATCTTTAACCCCAGCTCATAATATCTTCATTACGAGACAAGAGCCTCGCGAAATTTTACGACAGCTCCTTTGACGACTTCGCAGCGGGATTGACTGCTGACGAACCGGCCATAAATTATTATCTAGTTGTTATTAATCTGCGCGCGCGACGACGGCTTGACGATCAATACTTTATCACCCGACGTGGATCGTTCCATCTCGCGCATTATCGCGAACGGTATAATGATAAATTCCATCGGCTCGGGGGCGCGCGAGAGAAAAACGATAAATTAATATCTGCGCGATAAATTTTCCGCGACGTAGACAGTGACGTTGCCGAAATAATCGAAATGCTAATTATTCATTTGCATAATTAACGCGAATGCAGTAAAGCGACCTCCGGCGCACCGTGAGCGGTCCCACATGCCATTGGAGATTAACGGTAGCGTGCGTCCTGTTAATGTTCATTTTGAATATTAACTCCTCGGAAATGAATGTGCACGATCGTCGAATCATTATGGCCGAATTTAACGCGGCTGAGTGAACCGCGCGTATGCAACCGCCGCTATGAATTTCCGGTGTTATCATTTTCAGAATCGCCCGCTGCTGCTGCGGGTATCGCTGCGGAATCGCGATGACACACCGTCATCATTGTAAATCTCTATCGTCACTCTGGGTATCTATTTAATTGAAATTTCCTATACGTTATGCATTTGCGCCGTTTATTATGTTATAAATAATGTATAAATTTTATGATATACGCCAATCATATTGAAAAGATCTAGACGAAATAATACAAGTTGTCAACCACTACTGTCAACCACAACTGTCAATCACTAGCGTGTGCAGCTAAGCGAAAGTATTTCAAAGTAAATTGGAAAAAGGTTCTCCTTTAAAAACATACTTAGTGGTTAAGGCGTCGACATATAAAATATTTTTCTATTTTCTTCGCATAACTGACCAAACTGAAAGTTGAAACATAAAGGTCCTTAAATTTATGCGATCGTAACCGTTAAATCCACGCTAGCGACCATTTTGCACGCACCGCTTCGCTCGGAACGTGGCGCGCGTCGTTCACGGTCGATTTCGAAAAAAATTCCTCCGTTAAAAGAGAAAATGGTCCTTCCGTTTTAAAGAGATTCTCGGCGTTTCGAATGTGGCTTCTCTCGGGCTCCCCGTCGGTGTCCAAACACGAAAACGAAACAGCGGGTGGGCCATAGGCACGATGATGGCTCCGCGTCAACGAGAACGTATCAGCCAGCTGCCGGCGCGGGCGGGTAGATTTAGAGGCAGTCGGGGGTCCCTGCACCTGATTGCCGGACATTCATCTACCCCCGGACGCAGAAGGTGTACTAACTCCGTGGGAATCCACCACTCTTCTTCCATCCCTTACGCACGCTTGTTGCACGATGGCTGAACGCGCACGGCCGCGAGATAATGGTTTTCTAATTGCCGCCGCGTGACTGTGTATAGCTGGACTTTTCCTCTGTAGTTTCACAAAAAAAGAAGACGCCAAAATAGAAAGAACTACAGAAAGGAAAAACATAAGGAGAGGAAGCGCTGTAGAAAAGAAAGAAACCGCTCAGGCGATGTTTTTGTAGTTTTCCAATAAAACATCCGTGCACGAAGTTAATTAAGAACGAAGAATAATTCATGGGTTGTCTATAAAATGCTGACTCTCTATGATTCGATAGATGTTTAATTATTCTCATATAACACACATGTTTCATATAATTATACGATTTTTCTGTTAAACGCAAACTGGTTTAGCGGTGCATTTTCTAGCTGAATCAACGATCGCACTCGTTAGAACCGCTCGAGAATAATCTCTCGGTCCACGATATCCCTCGGCATCCAGACGACATCTGAGAATGATATTCGTATTTAATAAAGTCGGAACGCGCCAGATTCGACCGCGGGAACGAGCGCAAAAGTGGTTTAATCGCCGGACTCTGGATTGTTAGAACGCGGGCGCAACGATAAAGGGGCGATTTTGCGACCTGGGTCATTTGTCGGGTCAGGTTTTAACGATCGCCGCGCGGACGTTGTTACGTTTTAATGCTTAACGTAACGGCGGTCGGCCCTCGCATATGAGCCGCAAAATCGATCCTCCGGCCTCGGTAAACCGATCATAAATTCGAGCGGCTTAGAACGCAGGTAGAACGTCACGGGTGAAGGAGGAGGAGCAGGAGGCCGTGCACCTCCTCGACCTCCTCGGCAGCGGCGGCTCACGTTGCACCTTTCGCGCGCATAATGTCGCGGTTTTAAGTGCCCACGCGTGCTCGCTTCCTCTCTCTTTCTCTTTCTCTTTCTCTCTGCTCCTTTTCATGAAACGCGTCAGGAGATCGAGAGAGTGAAAGGATGAAATATGCAAGACAACATAATGTTACCTCCTAAGGGATACACCTGACGTAGGAAGAACGCACGGAGTGCCTGTACCGAATATATCCACCCTCGGGAATAAACGGCCTGGCCCATAATTCATTCTAAATACTTGTATGCTAATAACGACGCCACGATGCAGCGGAAATTTACTATTCCCAGGCGTTCCCCGGTAGTCTTCCTGCTGCTTTGCCCTCCGTTCTTTTCGTACGCCTTTCTGTTCTTTATCCCTTTATTCCCGTCGCTCTGTCTCCAACCGCCAACCGTACCTGTACGCTCCCCTTTTTACTTACTGCTACCCCTCTCCCCCTTCTCTTCCCCCGTCCCAACCATCGTGAGGTCTTGAAGAACCGGCGTATTAGCTTTACATTATACGCGCGATGGAATTTATGCAACGGCCGTGGGATCCGTAATCCCGTAGAACCATAAAGTCCGTTATCTCGATCGTTTATCCATTCTGCGTCTCCGCGTTTCAGTGCCGCGACTACCTCCTTTCCTCATTCCGACTTTCTTTCTGGCCGCCATGAAAAGTCAGCGGAGAAGCGAAATTGAAATCCTTCTCTGCGAATGGCCCGCGGAAAACGGACGACGCGGATTCATCCGCTGAAACAGTAGATGCACTTCAAAACTTCGTGGTATACGACCATATATTTCGAGTCTTTATATCTTTCTCTTTCATCCCTTCGTGCTAGCATAAAGAACATTCGGAGCCGCGGAAGGCCAAG